AGTTGGCCAGCGGCTGCGCCGGGCCCGGGGGAGCCGGTCCTTGCGCCTCCCGGCCGGCTCGCCGCGCGCGTCCGCGGCGCCCGCTCGCGAAGGAGCGGCGGCCGGTGGAGTGGGAGGCGCGGGGCGGGAGGGCGGCGCGGCGCCGGGGCGAGCGGGCGAGCGAGCGAGCGCGAAGTCGCGGCTCGGGGGGAAATGCCGCCGGCCTGCCCCCCGCGCCCCATCCCGCGCCGCCTTCGCCGCGCTCGTGCCTGAACTTCCCGGGAGTCTCTTCATTGTTCTTTCCTGTGACTCACTTGTCAGTGGTAAAGATAGTTTACGCAGCCTCTGGATTTATGTGACTTCCTTCCTTCTCTCCGGAATTTAAGGGTTACATCACCGGCTTAAGCCAGCCGGGCTTATCCCCTTTTTGGACGAATGGAAGGGGGAGAATAGTTCTTATGTCCACACACACACGTGTCCTGGGCTGTACGAGGGTTTTGTGTTTTTATGAATCTCTTTGTCCTCACATAAAGGGTTTGGTAAATAGCTCTTTTTGGAAAAGCCATCTTAAGAGTTCATGCTGAAGCATTATTCCCACCGAAGCCCTGTTTTTATAATATTGAGTTCCCTGCCTCTTACTTCTCTGCAAGTGAGACCCGAATCTGATACAATGAAAACGAAACACAAAACTTCGCGGCTTCTTTTTTCAGATGCGTAGGACCAATTTGGATTAATTCAGGTTCCCCATCCCAATCTTATTAAAAAAAAGAGATGATCAAATATCAGTCTGTATTCTAACAAATACGGAAAATGCGGGAAAAGAGTGGAGCGTAAATAGGATACGGTGGCAGTGAACGGAGTAAAAAGAGAAAGGGTTATCTTTTTTTTAACTTGGCTTTTATCTTGGCCACAGGCTTTCCCTTTTTGCTTTGCATGACACAAACATGGCGAAACAGAGCCGGAACCGGCGCCCTTCCTGACAGGATCAAATCTTAATTTATTCTCTGATAAGAACGGTTCGGAGCTCTCATCAAGTGGTCGGAATGAAAGAGAATAGACCTGCTGGCCGGGGGGCATGGGTCCTGGAAGCTTTATTTCTGGCATGACACACCAAAGATCAGACCCCTTCGTGGTTGTCTTTGCAGTTCTCATGTAGGTCAGTCTCCACTTCCCCCACTTCTCCCGACATGCACTAGGAATGCCTAGCAATTCTATAAACTAGGATTCTGTAAATTAGAAAAAAGCCCAGTACATTATTGTTGGGCTTTTCAGGTATAAATACAGTACTAAATCTTTGAAAAAGATATGCTCAGAGCGAAGATGATTTTGGAGAAAGAGTAATGTGTGGGAGCTTGCTTTCTTCACTGGTAATAGTCACACTAGAAGCTCTTCCTGGATTGATAGCTGCAGGAATCAATAACTGTCTGGAGCGTTCTCTAAAAGAGATGGATCCCAAAACCTCAGTGTCCCAGAGATCCTTCTTCTTGCTACCCAAAGTGCCTGAAAATGAGGCTCCAGGGGCAACGCTGTCCACTTAGGACTTGTTGTGATTTAATGGCCATTTGTGATAGAGCCCCCTGGCCTTCCCGCTTTGCTCTAGATGAAAGTTCCCAGCCTTAGCAATAGTCATGCTGAGTCCAAAAATTCTGGAGGGCACCAGGCTGCAGAAGGCTGATGGAGCAGCTTAGCTACCCCCCCCACCCCCGGGGGTTTCTGGCAAACGTTCTATCAAAATCAGGACTTGCTAAGCCCCAGGAACACCTTTGCAGACAAGTCTAACCATGTTGTTTACAACCGAGATGGTCAACCCCCTGCACCTTTTGCGGAAGAGTAATGTTATGATGGATTCACCTGAAGTTTTGCCTGAATTGCGATGGCCGCAAGTAGCAGGTGGGTGGAACCAGGAGGTGGGTGAGGCTTAAGCTTTTGCGTCCCCACCCATAGCTGCTGTTGGCCCTGGAGAGAAAGTTGCACTGATGCTGGTGGTCCCACCCTGTAGCTGCAAGGAGGTGACTCATTTTGTGTGTTCCTCCATGTGCAGGTGGAGTGGCTGGAGAGGGTTACTGCTGTTACGTAATGCTGAGCTGCTTCCAAGTGTACGATACACTTTCTGCAGCACATCCAAACAAACTTTATTCTGCCCTCATGAAATAATGTTGTTCCCAAATCCAGATAGGCTTCCCATGGATCAGGGCATCCCTTTTAAAGAATAGTGCACACAACATTACCTCAATTAAATGAAATCCATGCCTTTCCCCTTTATAGCAATATTGGGAGTGTGTAAAGACTGCAGCTTTAGTGATTGAGTCTGTGACCGCTTTAATTGCTGGTTGTCTACCTGTATTTTGTTTCTTAAGCCTATGTCGTGAATCTTGTGATCACACATCCACAGCATCTTTAAGCATCCTTGCCAAGTCGTGCAAAACACTCCTGTAAGTAAAATTAGGACAATCCATATTACCTTGAGCCATGCTGCACCATGACCACAAAACGCCTAATTTAAGAAAATATTCCAAAATTCCAAAGTGTTTGTGGCTTTGGTGCCTTTGCAATAGTTTGGCTGATGTTGTTTATTTAGAACGTGATTCAGAGGCGGGATGGGAAGCATCCAGCCAGGGCAGCCTCGGGTGATGCCCCCAGGAAAGACCCAGGATGGGCAGCCAGGGGCAGTAGAATGCCTGCTGTTATCAGAGATCAGAGCTCACCATTTCCCCACATAGCATCTGTTCTCCCAGCTGGGTGGCTTGAGGAGTATCACCACTGTTATCTCCAGTTACTGATGGCAGATAGCAGTGGGAACTAGCTTTTCCCACTAGCTGTACCTCCCCAGCATCCTCCTCAATGGGGGAGGAGGATGCAAATCCACCCCAACTAAGTCCTTGGTGGAGGAGCTAAATGCCAGTTTTAGAATATCCAAAATTAAAATTGCTTGTTCTTTACCGATTTACTCACCCACAAAGGTCAGAGCCAAGAAGGAGGTCTCTTAACATATTTCCAAAAGTTTCTTAGGTGTAGACTTTTAGCATAGTAGGCTTCTTAGAAAAGGTCTTCTTTAGGTTGCCACAAGTTCCATCATGAAAGTAGCCATCTCTCCTCCTGCTCTGCTATATGTCCCTCATTGGGTCTGTTCATCACTTCTAGGAATCTGTCAGGCTAAGAAGCTTCTAGAACGAAGTTGAACTAGCATGTGCTGTGTTAAGAGTTAGGAATGGAAAATCTCTTGAGTCCTTTGCTAAGCTCATGGAGTGGCAGTAGGCGAAACTTACTCTCAGTTTTAGTCTCTCATCTGTGAAATGGGGATAACAATGCCAGCTGCTTAAAGGGATTGCTCTGTAAATTACTGGGATGCATGGGAAGCACTTGGGGCATTTAAGTAGAAAGCACTATAATTAACTACTATTACTGTTGAGGAAAGTAACACTTGAGATTTGAGCCACATACATTCCTGCTATGAGCAGAGGGAAACTAGCTTGTAAATCTTGAATGGTGTTGCATGGCATCCCTGTAGTAAATGCCTCTGATATACATTTACTCACTATATCAAAGAACTCCTGAGACTGACTGGGTCTCTGGAGTCAAGTGAATGAATTGCTATGGCTCTGAGACTGAAGAATGGTAGTATGTGCCTGTTATTTTTTTCCTTTAATCTAAGAGAGCCAAATCTTACTTTTGGGAGTAAACGTTTCTCCACCTCATTGCTTTCTGTTCCACCTTTTGTGTTCAGGGCTGACATTCTTAAAGAGGAAATCTTAGCTCTGTATCCAGCATTGCTTCTTAATCATTCCCAAAGGCAACATTAGTGCTTCTGAAGCAAAAAGTAATGGCTCCCTCACAACCTGGGGCAGGAACGATTCTGTTCCTGGGCTGGCTGGTTAGTGGCATTTCTGCTTGTACCACTGCAAGCCTGGCCTTCTCGTGGATTTTGGGGTTAGGGTCCTGGGACTAGAGGCAGGTTGAGCAGCTACAGGTTCTTTGCAAGACTTCTCTAGGAGAGTAAAATGGCAGACTGAACTAGGGAAGAGAAGGTTCATTTGCCTGCATCTGGCACCTCAAATAAACTAACCGATGTCTCGTCGGAGGTGGTATTAATTCTTCCTTATTTTTTCTTGGGCATCTTATCAAACGCAGGGATCATTGCATAATGGCCATCAAGCAAACATTCCCATTGTGAGCCCAGTATTGATACCTTTCCTCTCAAACAGAGTTGATGTACCCGCAGCTAAAAAGCCTTTTCGGTTCAGAATGAAGGCTCTCCTGGAGGATGTGGGCTGATGAACAGGGAGATGGCAGGAAGAGTAACAACAGCTTTCCCTCCCCTTCCTCTCATGCCCTCCTGGCGTTGCCATAAATGTGAAAGAGAAAACTAAGTCACAGCAGGGAGACCATAAACCCTCCAGCACTGCAGATCAACAATGGAGCTAGATCAGTTTTATGTAGTCTTCTCTTTTTGGAAAATCACCCCCTGCCCCCCCCCCCCCAGTGTGTTTAGGCTGACAAAGCAAGAAGTCCTATTCAGTGGCCCCATTCACACAAACACCACAGGCCCCTGGGGCTGGGTTGACATTAACCCCGGAGGGTTGCAGTGTGCGCTGGGCAGCTTTTTCATATTCAGGCTGCAACTTTGGCTTGGATGGTGTGAACCTGGCAAACATGGGTTCTTGGTATGGCTTTGTCCTAAACAAGAAGCTGGACTTGGATTAGGGTGTCCACTTATGCATTGCATCACTACAAAAGGAGGGCAAAAGAGGGTCGTGGTTTGCCTCACATTTGCATATGCAAATGTACACATGCACATTTTTAAAGAATTATAAATTATTTCATTTTCATTTCTACCCAGCCCAACAGCTCAAGCTGTCTGCGCTATTTACAACCATTCAGTAGAAATACAGTGCATCTCACCACAGTCCAGAAGACTCGCCAGGTGAGCTGTGTACCTCCTAAGTCCATTGCCCAGGTCCTAAATGTTGAGTGGCAGCTTCAAGGTACCCACCACTCTCCTTCCAAAGAGTTTGTGCCTGTCTTGGATCAGATAGCTCATCAAATAGTGGACGGCCCTCAGCTAGCTCCCCACACTGGAAGAAACTCTTCCGTACAGTAGGATGCCCGGCCATCTCAGGATGTACTTTTGAACCCTTGCAAGACCCGGTGTAAGTACACCCTTTGCATGCTAACCAAGTGGGAGATGGTTTCATCCCCAGCCCTCCCCGGTTTCTGTCTGGAGGGCACAGGATAAACCTTTAATCGAGCTTTATAGAAACCAGACAATAGGGTCTTTCTGGCTTTGGGGCCATTTCTGCTACATCGTGTCATATGAGGCTTTCTGAGAACTCCAGACATTAGTGGATAATGCATTTGACTAAGACTTGCTTCACCTCCAGGGGAAAAGTAAGTTTAATGCAGGTCAGCAGTGACAGACGGCTGTAATCACTGGATCTCTGCTCCATGCCCTATGCAGAAGGAGGTTAATGTGACTGCTCAGCTCCCAGTGGAATTGGCCCTGCTAAGCTGGAAAACATCAGGAGAGGGGAAAGAGGAGTCCACAACGTTAGGAGGAATCTGAAGAGAGCACCCCCGGTTCCTGGGTTTTGTTTGCTGGTGGTGGTGAGCCAGAATGCCTAGAGTCGTAATACTTTATAAGCCCTAAATGCAAAATTTGGGGGCCAGCCTTTCTCCTTTTCTTCAGAAAAAGGAATTGCATTCCAAATGGAGACATGCCAATGCCTGGCCAAGGCAACACAGCAGAATCAGGCCAGCTTTTCTCCAGTGGAGGACACAGCAGAGCAGGCTGATTCACGGCCCCAAAGCCAAGCATCCTCCCAAGAGCAGCCACCAGTGCCCCCTCCCCGCTTTCATGTGTGGCACACGCTGAATTACTCAGCAACTTAGCTTGGAGGGGCCCCTCTGGCAGCCTCGGCAATTAGAGGCCTCTCCCTTGAGAATGGCGCCCAGTGGCTGGGAAGGAGCCCTTTAAAAGCAATCCCTCTTTGTCAGGGGCTTGTCGGCCCTGGCATGACAGAGCAGCGGAGCAGGGTGTGCTGCTGCTTTACTGCCTGGAGGCTTTCGGGCACCGGGATGCTAGATAAAAACATCTGCAATCCAAAAGGGCCAGAACAAACACTGTTGCCAATGGCTGGGTTCGCAGGACACGCCAAGCTGTGACTAAGCCTCCAGGGCTTGGCATGCTGCCAGGCTGGCTTACAAACTGCCCCACAAGCCCTGGCTTGTTGGCCGGCTTGCTTGACCAGGTATCAGTTGTGTCATGCAAACTCAGCCAACTCAACAAGGCCAAGCAGAAAACCCTCTACAGAACCAGAGTGGCTAATAGCTAATGGGATAATGAAGCAGGGTGGACATCCTGTTTCCATGATCTCTTTCTTTTCTTTTTAAAGACTCTAGCCATGGCAAGCAAAAAAAGGCTAACAGGGATGCAGAGGGAAGCCTTGGTGCTCCAGCAGTGCATGCTGGGATACCTGCGGGAGGACTGAGGGAGGCGGAGGGGAAAACTGCCATGATGTGCTGGGCACATTCCAGCCCCAGGGCGGAGGAGCCACTATGAGCGGCTTACCCAGCCAAAGGGTGAAGGCCTCATGCCGACCCGCTCATTGTGTTTTGAGCAGTTGTGCCTTTATCCACTGTAGCATAAGGACAAGGACCCAGACTGAGGTCCTGGTGTGGCTGAAGGACTTTGGGATCCCAGTCAGGGGACCTGTGCCCCCTGAAAAGTAAAAATGAAAAGAAGGCAGAGCTGCTAGTCATGCCTTTCAAGTAAGGCCCGTTTTGGCCCAGAACTGTTTTGGCATCTCTCACACTCCTATGATTCCAGAGTAGTCCTGCTCCGTTGGGGGAAAAGTGGAATGAGGGAGGATTGTGTCAAAAATGACGGCCAGCGGATAACGCAACAGCACGTCTGCATCACACTGATGTGTCCTTCTGTCCTCCTTGTAGCGTTGCACACCATGCGAGAAGCTTGGGCTCAGCCAGGCCGCCACAGTGGACCGCCACACCCTTGAGGCTATGCGAGTCCCTCAGGCACCAGACCGTCTTGCTGCTGCTGTTCTTGTTCCCAGACCTACCTGCCACAGCTGCTTATAACCTGAAGCCCTCCCTGCCCCCAATTGTAAGGGACAGCCCCTTCCTGGTGGCCTGGAACGCCCCGACGGCACGATGCTCGGCGGTCTATGAGGTGCCCCTCGACTTGGACTCCTACAGCATTCTCGTGAACTCCCAGGAAGCCTTTGTGGGTGGGAATGTCACCATCTTCTACTACGACCAACTGGGCCTGTATCCTTACTACTTGAACACGACTGTGCCAGCCACAGCTGTCAATGGCGGCTGCCCGCAGAACACGAGCCTGACACGGCACGTGGAGAAGATGAGACGTGACATCGCTGCTGCCATGCCCTCAGGCTCCTTTGCAGGCCTCTCCGTGATCGACTGGGAGAACTGGAGGCCCCAGTGGGTGCGGAACTGGGATAAGAAAAACGTCTATCGAGACATGTCCCTCTACCTTGTAAGGCAGAAGAACCCCCATTTGTCCGACTACCAGGTAGAAATGCAAGCCAGGTGGGAGTTTGAGACAGCCGCACAGAAATTCATGTCCGACACCCTGCGGCTTGCCCAGTCTTTGCGTCCCCACGGCTTGTGGGGCTACTACCTCTTCCCCGACTGCTATAACTATCACTATTTGGATGACTTTGAGAACTTCACGGGGCACTGCCCCCCACTGGAGGTACAGCGCAACGATGAGTTGATCTGGCTTTGGGAGAACAGCAAGGCCCTCTACCCTTCCATCTACATGGAGGAAGTGCTGAGAACTTCCCCCCAGGGGAAGAAGTTTGTGTGGGCCAAACTGGGCGAAGCCCTGAGAGTCGCTGAGCTGCCTTCCATACAACATTCCCTACCTGTCTTTGTGTATGCCAGGCCCTTCTACACCTACACGCTGAAGGAGCTGACCCAGGTGAGAGAATTGCTGCTTGGTCCCACCATGCCTTAAGCCAGGTGCCTATTCATTTTCGCTCCAAGGGTCATACTGGACACCTGCTGGGGTGAAGGGGGACGTATAGCATGTACATTCATGCGTGCACACACCACTCACATACCTCGATGCGTACAGTCCCCATTCACCCTCCCCCTAGCACAGCAGATCCTTGACCCACAGCGACAGCAACTAGTTCACATCGCAGCATCAAGGTGTTGCCCCTGATACAACCGCCTGAAAAAAAGAGAAAGAAAGTTGAGAAATGGGCTCCATGCTTTCTGCCATGGAAGTTTCCTTCCTAGAGCATTCCCAGAGCTGCTTAGGAAGCCACTGGAACCTTCTGCAGGGATTCCTAGGATGCTCCAGAGGCCTTTCAGGAATGAGGTTTCTATGGGAGGGACCATGGGGCCGGCTTGCAGGCTGTTTTCCCTTCACTGGTGGTGGGGAAATCCAAGGCATCTTAGGGCCACAAGGTGAAGCTCAGGTGGGAGCCTGCAGGGCAGGGTTTTTGCACCCTGGCTTAAGTCCTGTAGACTTGTTGATGATGTCAGCAGCAAGACTGAGTCTTTCTTCCTGCTCGTGAAATGTATGATGAATTCAAGCTGACTAAGCAAGGAACTTTACAGCCCACAGGAATGAGAAAGAGCGAAGGAGCCACTTAATTCTTGAGTTTCAGACTTGAGGGCTGCATTAGCTACCATCATAAGTACTGCAACCAAATAGGAATCACCAAAGGGTGAAAGGGCTAATGGGAGAGACTTTTATTAAGATTAAAATGCAATCTTTACTCACAGGGTATTTTATTAGAATATTTTTATCCTACTATTCTCAAATGATTCTAGAGTGGTTTGTAAATAATTTCTTCCAGCATTCCTGTTATTCTTTTAACTCCCTTCCATCAGCTTGTGGCCATCACTCCTCGACATATGCTGTTAAACCCGATACACATGGAGCTAATGCTGAGCATTTAATATCTGCACTCACATTTCACATCATTTTACTGGCCATGCTTTCCTTCTGATTACATGGAAATAAGTCTGTCTGCATGAACAATTGTCAAATAATTTTGGGCTCTATTGCAGGCTTACAGATCCATTATGGGTCTTGATTTTTTCCATCCTAGTGTGTAATTCAGCCTTAAAACTAGCTTTACTGATGTGTTGTACACGCTTTTCCATAGCACTTTAGGTTTGATTTTAACTCCTGTGGTTCACAAGATAAAGCACTTTTGTTGCACCAAGTGGAAGTGACTAGGTTTGGGTATAAAATGACCTCCACTTACCTCCTGTGCATCTACACACGAAACAGACTTCTGTTGCACTCAATCATGTATGCAACATCCAGTGGGATTGATATTTTTTATAGAAAATTAAATTTGCTTATATTTAGTGTCTGTTCCAAAATAGAGAAAGAATAGAAAGCATGATGCACTCGGTTAGCTTTCTGCAGATCCTCACTTTTAATGAAGAAGGAAAAGGAGTACAAGCTACACCTATAGTGCCAAAGTGTAGGACTCAGCTGCCTTGCCAGTGACCCAAAGGAGGACCATGTGTCTCTGCCCTGGGAGATCAATATAAGCAGTAGAGCTGGGAATCCCTCTTGGGAACATGGAAGGCTGCTTTCCAGCCCAGTGCTGTCTATTCCAGCTTTCGCACATGAGCTGGGCTACATGTCCCATCATCCTCAGCCAGCCTGTATGGCAGTGGCTTCTGGGGTCTCAGGCAGAGACAGGTCTTTCCCTGGCTGTTCTCTTAAGTGAAGGTGCCAAGGAATGAACCAGGAGCTTTCTGCGTGCAAGGCAGGTGCTGTGCCCCAGTGTAGGGCTGATTTTAGGAGATGGCCTAACGTGGTGGTGGTGGTGGTGGGCCTTCATGTTGGGAAGGACCTGCAAAGGCTGCTCTCTGGAAGGAGATCGGGGGAGGACACAGCGAAGGAAGTACCGAGCAGCCACTGGGATGCCTCAGGAGGAGCTGTCAGGTGGCCCCACTGAGAGCGGTGCTGGGCATTTTCTTGCTGCAGCCTCGTGTGGTTCTCCAGCACAGCCATCTGCCTATGCGTTGTTCAGAGCAAGGAACGGGTCACGGTGGCAGCATCAAGTGCAGACCCAGAGAGCTGCGACTGCAGCTTTCCTGTTGTGGCATTTGGCCAGTGAAGCAAACCGGAACCTTTTGAACGGCCTGGGGTGGCAGTGGCAGCATCGGGACCCTCAGCCCCGCTAGGATCCACCCCACCTTCAGGCTTGCTGCCTGAAGCAGGAGACCCAACCTGCCTCATGGGAGAACCAGCCCTGCGTCTCCAGAGAATGAGAGCACAGTTCCTTTCGGACAGCATAATCACCCACATGCACGGGCTGAGTGTGGGTTGTCCATTGGACTGTGGGTTGTTGTTGAAATATGAGTTATTGTGTTATTTAAACTCAGCCACACTAACAAGCCAGGGCTTACTCACCGTGCATAACCCAGAAAGAGAACCTATGATTTGGGATGTCCGGGGACTTAGGCTTATTTATGATTAACAAGCCATGGTTTGTTAGTGCAGTTGAGTTCACACAACAAGATAAACCACATGTCAACAAGAATCCACAGTTCAATGACGGCCCACACTCAACCCTTGAATGTAGGCTTTGCTGTCTAAATACAGTTAAATACAATGCCTGCCAGTTGGAATTGGTAGGTAAGGAAGTGGCTCTGTACTGGTTGGAACTATTCTCCTGTTGAGGACTTCTCACTTCTTCCTGGGGATAGTAGTAACAGAGGAGTTAATGGTCTCACTAAAGCTTAGTTGAAAAATCACTTGAACTCAATAGCTGCCTTAGCCGTCATTTCTCTTGGTAGAAGGTGGCGTGCAAACCGAACAGATGCACAGCTGAGGACTGCTCCCTGTCTTCTTGAACATCAGGAGCCAGCTGTTGCTGCCTGTCCCAATGACCTCTGCAAATATGCAGCACAGGGTTTGATTTCACACATACCTTGATTAAGGGGCAGGATGTGAATTGGCTCTAAGTTTCTAGAGATTATGGTAACTGTCCTAAAGGCTGAAAAATGAAATGTCAGTGTCCACTGAATAACATGATTTGTCAACCTTGCAAATATTTCTTTTTAAAGATGGTGGGGGTATTAAACCTGACAGACTCAAGGCTCTCCACATGTATGACAAACACTTTCAGGGAAATAGTCTCACCAGAAATAGCTTGTCAGCTACCCTGTTCCTGCAGATTTATTTGTGCCGGTTTCTATTGCTGTTCCAGACAGATTTGGTGTATACCATCGGACAGGCTGCAGCCATGGGAGCTCACGGGATTGTGCTCTGGGGAGAGTCAGACTATTCTCGCAACCGGGTAATTTAACAGCAGTGCCTGAAACGGCGTGTCTTCTACTTTCTGTCTCCCTCATCTCTTTTGCTTATAGTTCAGCATCATTTTGCCTGATAAAGGGATAATGAGGGGGGTGTTCCTGTAGCTATTGGGTGCTGAAAGACTTGTAGAGGGACCCTTGGGCTTTTATTTTTATTTATGAAATGACATCCTGTCGGACTTGAAACGTTACTTCTGAGAGAGTAAGGGATTAAAAATTGTGTTGAGGTGGGGAGTTTAGAGACAAGCATCAGACCCCAGTCCAGGTGGTACCCTAAAGTAGTTTTTGGCTGACTTCTTATACTAGAGGCCTTGAACCTGGGTTGTACCATTTCAGACTCAGGTCACAGGGCAGGGATCACGTGAATGCACACTCTTGTGTAAACACACACACACACACACACTGCACATAGAAAATTAGATGTTAGGGAGGTCATTAGGGATGTCTAGAGCAAGGCTGTTGTCCTTGACATCCTGCTTTTCTATATGCAGGTCTTGTTTTGTATGGAGAAGGACCCAATCCTATGAAACTACTATTCCAGCTACAGTTTGAAATTGTGCAACCAGAACAGAGATCTGCAATTCTGGTCAGAACCAGGCCTTTGTCCTTAGCTCTGGCCAAAATTTGGAGGAATTAGGTTTTGAAGGAGGCTGAAAGGAAGTTAATATGCATTGAATAAAAGATGGGGAAGGGTGGGGGTTGGTTTCTGTACATGCCAAGGCTGTGGGATTTCTCATCCCTTAGGCAGCAAGGTATCTTGGGCCAAGCCTACAAGTCTCCTCCACTGATAGCAATGGGAAATTTCAAGAGAGAGAACTGCTTTACATTGGTTGCTGTTTGGACATTTAAGAACTAGTCAAAGCTGAGTAACCAAGATCATAACATCTTTAAATTCTTATAGTTTGTTAGATTCAGCCTAGCTATATAGATTTCCCCCCTGCATTTGTACTTACTCTTTCAATATATATTTCTCCCCCTCCCACCCCTCCAGACCAACTGCTTAAAGATTCAAGACTACCTGATTAACACCTTAGGCCCTTACATTGTCAATGTGACTATGGCAACCAAACTTTGCAGCCAGATTACTTGCCAAAACCACGGCCGCTGCATTCGCCGAAGAATGGACTCTGACACCTACTTGCATCTCAGTCCCATGTCCTTCCGGATCCACACACTCAGAGGTGGCAGCCAGACCCAAGTGTCTGTGACAGGAACCCTGAGCCATCTCCAGAGGGACCAGATGAGACGGGAGTTCAGGTGCCACTGCTACCAGGGCTGGAGTGGAGAAAATTGCCACTTCCGAGGCCGGGGCTGGAGGCTGCGGACATGTGGCTGGTGCATTCTTGGGGCAGCTCTCTCGGTGCTGTGGGGGTGGCATTGATGAGCTTTTGGGGCCAGCTGCTAAGAATGTGAATTGTGTGAAGCCAGTGGGGTGCACTGAGTCCCACACCATCCCTCTGCGTGGCGGAGAGAACGAGGCAAGCATGGCATTTGGTGACAGAAGTATTGTCAAGTGTTGTGACTCCCACTGGCTTCCCAGGATGTTCTCCTCTCGTGGTGTTTCACCAAAATGTCGTATATGTGGATCTCCCCCGGCAACATGCATAACCTATGCAGGATTCTGTTCTTCCAATACACAATGGGTTTCCTTTCTTTCATTTTAGTTTTGTAACTCTCTTCACCAGCATAGAAAGCAGCTTTAATACTCGGTGGTGCACATTTTCCAAAACTGTGACAAGAACAATAGTTTTCTAATACTATTTTTTTCTTTTTTAAAAAGCAATATTTATGCAGTCAGGATCTGATATTTATAACAGTTGAATAATGGTGAGGTCACCTTTTACTGCATTGTACTGTATTTAAGCAGATTATTTATATACAAAGCAAACATTTCCTACTTGGACTGACTAGGTGTGTTCCAAATGTGATAGGTGCTGTATAATTGAGGAATGTGCGTATGTAAGTGTGTGTGTGTGTGCTACCTCTTCTCACTAAAGTGGGAAGGGAGAAAAAATAATTTTAAATTAAATATTTTTAATGTGACATTTATTACTCCAGAGCTTCCTTCCACTGCATTGCCACCACTAAGATCAACCCAGCAATTTTTTTAAAAGCCAAGTACCTGGTACAACTTCTCTGCATTTCTTCTCATTTATGGAAAAGTCTCCCAGGGCTGAGGAAGGAGAGAGCGAATGCCAGTGCCATCTGCTGTCACCACTTTTTGTCCAAGTAGGAGGGAACTGCTTGGCTGCTGTCCTACTACGAAGCCAAGCAAAGCACAGGATTTGCATCCAGTGGGACGTACTTGGGTTGTGGTGCGCAGGACTACACTGTTGTGTTCCCTCTATGGGGAAGACCAGCACCAGATCTTGTAGGGGGAGGGAAGAGCCCCCAAAGTGGACATGGGCCCAGCATGGTGGCCAGAGCAGCAGCTCTTGCAATGGCGCCCCTTTTCCGGGATGGCTACTCTCCTTCTGCAAGTGTGCCAGTTTGAGGGAGAAACATGGAGCAGTGGGAAACAACCCCCTAGGCAGCCAGTTCAACCCTGATGCTCAAGGGGGTGACAGATCATGGCCACGCTCCCATCCCAGCTGTTGTCAAACTCTCCATTGCATTAGTGGATTTCCATCCATTCAAATAAACAATATCATACCAAAAGTACGGCATTGAAACAAGCATCCCAAAGAGAATGTTGGTCTTAAAAACAAACAAAAAAGCAAACCAGTAGTCCTTAACAAAATGAAGAGCAGCAGCAATCAGAGCTTGGTGATTGTTCTGAAAAGCAGCATCCCACTCATTCCAGGGAAATCTCTGCTGATTGAGGAACTGCAAGCAGCACTGGCAGAAGATGAAGGTCCTCCAGGAAAAAAGACTGCGGTCTCTTGCCCAGCCTCTGAACTTCAGGCAGCCGGGGTGGGGGAGGGGTGGGGGAGGGAGAAAAGGGACCCAGAGCAGGGAAGCAAGAAGCTACTCAAAAGCAACAGTAATAAATGGAACAGCCCCATGAGATCTATTGCAGGCCAGGACAAGCTTGCATAAACAGGTGTATTTTCAGAAGGCATTTAAAACTGGCTGATTTTCTGCACAACAAAGGACAAAAAGCCCCACGGCATATAATCTTGCAGGAAAACCACATGGTGCCACGAAGGGGAGACCAGCAATGTCCGGGGGTTGGAAAAGGGGCTGGGAGGAGATGCCAGAGCTCACTGGAAGGGCCACCTGGGAAACATTTGGGAATCCAGCCTTAACATTCATCCCATGTCACTCTGAGGCTTAGCCATCTCCTTGCCAGTAACGTGCCGTGTAATTTCCATTATTCCTACAGGCAGCACTGAAGCAGCTCCTAAGCATGTATCAACAAGAGGACATGCTTTCTCACCCTGTGTTTATGAAATAAAGAGTCAAAGGATGTGAAACGGGGCCGGGGGGGGGGGCAGGGGGGGAAGCTTGGTCCTGGGCTCTGCACAGAAAGGGGAGGGGTTGCCACACTTCTGAACTGCAATCTCCTTTGATTGCCAAGCCAAGCCTTGATTTTCAACAGCAAAATCAAAGGTGATGCTACCTGCTTGCTGGCAAAAACACCTCATTAAATGAGATACTCTCCCCCTTGAGTGAGGCAAACAGGAACAGCCCTGTGGTATGGTAAATGCTGTGGTTTTGACAACACAACACTTGAGAATACACAGGCAGAAGTTATTGGGGGAGGCACTGCAAGGCCAGCTCTCTGGAAAACGTAATGTGAGAGAGTGTATTCTGGTCTGTCCAGAGCACAGTAATTGGCAGACCCTGGTTTAGAAACCTCGACAGAAGAAAGCAAAAGAGAGACCCTTTCTTCTCCCGGCTCCTGACCATTTTCCAGAATCTCCCAGTTCTAGGATTCAGAATGCACCTTCTGCATTATATGGGGCCACCCTAATTGTTCAGGCGCTGGGTGTGTATTTTGCCGTGAAAACGGGCAGGCTGATCAATAGATTTTGAGTAACTACCAGCCAGGTATTGCACTCCTATTCCAAAGAGACCAAGAATGGAATCTCTTCCTTTCACCTCGCCTGACACAGGACTGGGCTCCAACGGCCTGAATTTAAGCTTTAAAACAAAAACCTGCTTTAAGCTTCGAAAGCCTACTTGACTTTTTCTTTGCCGATACTCAGCATTACCTTCAAAAGCAAGCAGAGAAGGTCAAGAGAGCTCAGAAACAAGTGCCTTGCTGTCAATGATATTCATCCTGAGCTAACACTTTCAGAATAGCAAAACCCGAGAGGTCTGCCGTGCCTTTTCCCTCACTGGATTTCTTGAACTTTCATCGCCGTGTTGACAAACAGAAGTTCAGCCAGTGGTGCATTTTCTCCACTGCTAGCATCTCCGCAACGGGCATAATTATCCAATTAATGTCTGCCCATCGTGTAACTGTTGAATGCACACAGAGCTGGCAAGGAAAATGAAATAAAAACTGTCGAGTGAAGGGCTCCAAAACCGGGCACACGGTGGCCTTGGAAAATAGAGCTCTGGACGCAACAGGCTGGCTGCGCATGAGCCAGCGAGGTTTCTCAGCTCCAGCAATCACATTCTTTGGCTCTGGCCTTCTCACAAAGGAATGGGAGGTTAGTGATGCCATCTTCCTGGCACACGCACAGCAGTTCAGCTGCTCCTACATACCCTTTGCTGCTTACACAGCACATGTTCCTGTTTATGAAGGGGCTGCATGCCTTGCTTTGTTCCAACTTGTCCCTCAGACCAAAGCGTGTGCACCTGCTCGTAAGCTGTTATTGCAAAGGCTGCTGGAAGAAGGTGGGCTCCATTAGCACCGTGACCTTTTATCAAAGGGGAAATCACTACTCTTAGCTGGGTTTGATTCACACAATCCACATCCTGTGTGCCGGCTGTGTACACACGTTGGCTAAATTGGCTGTGTACCCTAAATTGGCTGTGTACACACACATTCTATTTTTCCAGTGCTAAACAGAACAAGGTGCTGTGGAAAGAAGTTAATCTCGAAACACTTAAGAATGCACACAAGGCATGTGCTCGGGAGTCACAACAGGTCCCTGGCACAAAACCATCATGTTTCCCCGAGCTGGTTGGAGTCTTGTGCTGCTGCCCCATGTGCCAGCAGAGATGCGGCAAACATGACTGAAATGGAGTGATCACTGAACAAGAACATGAATGCCCACATGGGGAAAACACACATTTTCTTATACATGAAGGACAGCAGAAATGTTTTTTAAACACAGGCACATTGACTGGGAAACCCACTGCATATCCACACCAGAGAATAAATCACATCATAATTTACTGCACATCATAAATTGTAAGAGACAGCCTTGTTCTCACAGGGAGATGGATCAATATGTCAAAAAGAAAAAAAGAGCCATGCATGAACTGTGCACTCATAAAGGCATTCTAGAGGAACGTCATTTGATTCACGCTAAACTGCTATCATGAGCAGGAGGGCTAAGCGCTTGTCTGGGCTGAGCTTTTGTCCTAGCGAGATTACTTATTTATTTAATGTCTCTACTGCCCCATAGCTGAAGCTTTCTGGGCAGTTTATGCTGTCCGCAAAGACAGGTGCTAAAAATACAATAAAATATCATAAAATTGGGGGGAATTAAAAAAATTAGAACGAAAAACAGATGATGAAAATAGATGATAGAATACTGAAACCAGATTATCCCTGTCCAGGTAAGGGTTTAGCTGGGTGACCAGGTGAAGCTGGTAGAAGGCACTCTGAGCCATCAGTGCTACCTGAGTCTCAGGTGACAAAGAAGGATCAAGGAACACCCCGCAAGCTACAGGTCTGCTCCTTTGAGGGGAGTGCAGACCCATCTTAAACTGGTTGAACCAGCCACCAACAGCATCTCAGTCTTGTCTGGTCTGGACTGAGCTTTTTAGCTCTCATCCAGTCCATCGTCATAGTCAGACATCGGTTAGACATCCCCACATCCCCACCTGATGCTGAAAAGGAGAAATACAGCCGCGTGTCCCCAGCAGACTGAGGGCAACACAGTCCGGAACTCCGCATCATCTCACTCAGCAGTTTCATACGGCTGTCAAAAGGCATGGGAGATGGAAAGAACGGGAGGCAGAGAATCCACAGGGCTGAGCAATATTCCCCAAGCACCGCCTCCTGGAGATGGCCCTCCAAGCAGGGGCAGAAGCACCGCAATGCAGTGTCCCTCACTCCTAGCCCAGGCAGTCACCCCAGGAGGATACTGCAGTTAACAGTACTGCAAGAGCCAAGGGTCCCACAGTATCAACGGGATAGCACTCGCCCTGCCTTCCCCAGCACAGGTCACCCAACGAGGTGGCCAAGGTGGTTTCCATACCAAAACCAGGCATGAACCCCAATTGAAATAGATCCAGACTATCAGTCTCATCCAAGGAGTTGATTAGCAACCACCCTCTCACGAACCTTGCCCTGGAAAGGAGCATTTGCTATTGGCCTACATAGTGAGGGAGGGCTCCTTCAGAAGCCATCTCACCAGAGCGTCTTTAAGGCAGCCTGGGATCATAGAGGCATTAATGACCTCCCTGGCCCAGCCAATTCTCCTTTCCTTGCTTTTATAATCCAGGAGAGGCATGGATCCAATACAGAGGTGGTCCAAGCACTTTGTCCACATCCTTGAGCTGTGCCAACTGAAACTCATCCAATAAAACTGAACCAGACTGTGCTCTGGGTATCTCTACCAATGCAACTGCTCGAACTCTGGAGTCCAAGTCCTGGCGGATGCAACAGATTTTTCCTGGAAGTGCCCAGTGAGTAGATTACAGTGGGCCAGAGCTGGTTCCTGGAGCCAGTGTAAGAAGCCCCTGGCAACCCTGAAAAGCTTCACTGGGCAGCAGAGAGAATTGAATAGAGGCAGTGCCACTCTCACTGCCTCAAAATATACCCAATTGTAGGCACATGCAAAGATTCTGTTGCATTCACTGGGAGTTCTCCTTCCTCTGCACTCCAGCCATCTCCTATGTTGTTTCATTGCTTTCAGATCTGGGAGGTCCCATGAAGCCATATAAGCTCTACAAAAGACCGCATGCTTAGGAGCAATCGTATCAACCGCCCAGGTCATTTCTGCATTCCACAAAGTGACCCAAAAGTAGTGCCAGCTATGAGTATGTTGGCTAGAAAATCCCCCAAAGCCCTCTGGAAACCATCTGGGTCCCACCACTCAGCAGTGGGCCTGCCTATAGGCCCAGGAGGAAGCTGCTGGAGAGCCAGGCCAGGGGCTGCCATGAAGGCAGCTGGAGGGGGCAGCATGGAGCAGAGATGTCAAAAGGCAAGGCGCTAGCTCCCTCCTCCACCAGTCCCTGTGCCTCCTCACCAGCCCTGGAGCGCAGGGTGCCCGGCAGTCTTCTTCACAAAAGGGTTGTACAGAAGCTTTGCCATATGCACATCTCACTGAACTCAAGCTTTTACCTGGTCGTTTTGTGATGGTGTGGACAGAACTGTGCATTCATACTTGACCATGAACCAGAATGGAATCCAGTTCCTATCCTCATCATGGACATGGCAACTCGGATTTACTGCCATATCTGGACTTTAAATGGGTATCAGTTCTGAGAACATATGCAGAACTATCTAATGCACAATAAAATTCCTTGTCTTATTTATGTATTTATTTACACCACTTGCATCTCATTCCATATCCAGACACATCTGGGAGCAGTGAACGATAAAAAGGAAAACGAGATTAAGCAATAAAAGAATGCACTAAAAACAGGGAAGCACTGAAACCGTGGCTGGTCAGCCAGTGAGCGCTTCCCAGAGTAGAGAACTGGACCTCCAGAGGGTCTCAGGTCCCAAGTTGTTTGGGGCTTTGTACACTAGTACCAGAACCCTTAGCCTGACCTGGAGGCCAATAGGCTACCAGTGATTTTCCTTCAGCAAAGGAACTGCATGCTGAAAAAAGGCAGCTGCTGTCAACAGCAGAGGTCTAACCTACGAACTCACCATACCTCCTACAAAAAGCACAGAATGTATCCACCACATAGACGAGCTCAGCCTCAAGGCTTCCAGAAGAGCGGGTGGGGGAATAACAAACATGTCAAGTTTCATTCATCAGTAAGTACACTTGGGTCAAGTGTGTACATTTCACCGGAATACCATTCTTCCTCATGACCTTGGAGCATTTTAAAAAACCCATAACCCAGCAGTCACCAAATTGTTCTCAACCTTGAACCTACATGTGATGATGACCAGCTCATCTATAAAGCAAATCATGCAAATTTGGAACAATAAAGAGTTTGAGGCCTCTGATTGCTATATTACAGCCTGTTTTGTCAGAACCAATGTTGAAGACAACGATCTGCACTGACAGCTGAGAAGAGGCAGAGTGAGATCTTCCACCAGGGCTGAACGGGAACTTTTCTTCAAAGAGGCAATACAGGGATTTCCCGAATTCAGCACAACTGCTCTGCTTTGCCATCTCCATTTGGTGTAGCAGGGACATTGGCTCATCTTCCGCAAGCTTAGGCTTTCCTCCCTGTATGAAGGAAACCTATTTTCAACCCTGCATACGAAACCTAATTGTCCATGAATCACAACCTAAAGGGAAGCAGGCAGTCCTCCTACTCATCTTGATAAGACAACCCTCATCTTTGAGCCACAGGCATGTAGAAATCCAGCAGCACTTATTTTCCCACTAGCTATTGCAAAGCCAGATATTTCAGAATGGGAGAGCTTTCTGAATAGCAGTGCTTAAAGCCATTCCTTTCTTGAATAATTTCCCTTAGCACCCCATTTGTAGAGGGCTTCTTTCTGAACGGTAAAAGCAGCTGGTTTGGACCAGTGACCTCACCAGCATCTGAATATTTAAAGCCTGCCTGGTCTTCCATGGCAACATTCACACCAAGTGTTGGAGCCAAAGACCTTGCTGTCCCCACAGAATCGGTAACCATGGGGGGATGAGCCTTCTGTCCTCTCCGCTGTGTCAACCCCCCACATTTCGAGAGAGTTCCCAAACCCTCCAAAGCATCCCCAACCCTCCAGATGAGATTTGGAGGTCACAAGGGGGTTGGGTGCTAACTGCAAGGAGGAAGTCCCATTCCACCAGGGAAATCCGTTCTGCGGATATAAATGGAGGTGAATCCAACTTAAACTCAGGCTAAGGGTGAGAAACTTTTGTCACTCTTGGTTGCAGGATGAATTCTGAAGGCAAAGAAAAACGCCATCTGCCGTTACAGTTGTATTTCAAAGATGCATGAAACCTACTTTGAGCAAGAATGTGGCATTGCCAAATGTAATGCAGTATGTATGTCACTGCAATGCTACTTTCCAAGCATCCTACCACCAGGTTATGTTCTCCAGGAGTCTCCTACTCTGCACAATTCACTTTTACAATGGCCAATACAGTATTAATAGCTGTCATAATCTGCTAAAGTAATATGCAAAACAGGTTGCTTTAAAAATACTTTATTTTATTTTTTAGAAAATACAGCATTCAGTACAGTGTGCCCTGCCTCCCCCTAATTTCCAAATCCACATCATCATCATCATCATCCAGCCCAATCAGGAATGTGCATCTCCCAGTCTCTCCGAACCTAGCACTCATGTAAGATTTGCGACACTGTTAATGCGAATAAGGACATGGTAATTCCTGGCTTGTTCGTGACTGTGTCAGGTTAAACTCATTAACGGATGTGAAAAAGTGATATATTTGTCCAATCTTGTCCTGTCTTTCTGACACAACAGCTAAGAATCAGCAACCTGCTACGTATCTTTTTGTGCAAAACCTATTCTGAGCTGTCCTTCCACGGAGTGTGCACCAGAATCCACAGCTGCTCTGCAGTTCTATACTGTAACAATATGGTCTCACAAGGCCACTTTGGGATGGCTATGAAGTTGTCTAGTCCTCTGCAGGAAACCAACAAATCTTCTAGACTGAAATAAGCACCAGAAAAGTGTAGGACTGATCTTCCAGCAATAACTTTGCCTTTCAGCAGCTTTGATATTAATATGTTATTTATTCATATGTTAATCTAAAACAATAGGCAAAGTCTTCTTGCTAGTAGTTGGCTCCTTGATGGGAAAATAGTGGTGTTAGTTGGCCAAATAGTCATCAGTTCTGATCCAGGCTAATACATGCTGGGAATGTTTTAGAATTGGGAGTGATTTCCACAGGCAGCAATGGAGATGCCCATTGGGACATGCAGGCTTTTCCATGTATTCCTCTCTGTTTTGTGAATATTTTTAGTCCTTGACAAATTGTGTTTTCCACAGAAAAGCTAAAGAATTTTCTGTTGTGCAGCCTGAATGGGTACTGGGGAAGGCAGGAGTGGGAAGAATTGATTTTTAAGTAGCTTTAACATAATGGTGATACTCATCCTGTATGGCTACATTTTAAAGGCCTTCTAGACACCTCTGAAACCTGGTTGATCTATGAAAAAAGGATTTCTCTAAATTATTACTTGCAAGGGCAATTTGCGCCTCAGGGAGAGGAGGTTGGCTGTCAGAGAAATAGCAGCTCTAACCTGAGATGTGCCCATTAGTGTTTGGTTACTGAACAGAGAGGATGAGACAAGAAGGGAGGTCTTGAGATGCAGGCTACGGATCCCCTCCTTCCTTCATGGAAGTTCTGATAGATCCCTAAATTACCACTGATCATGCATTTGAGGTACCATCTGCATTACATGGAAATATTCTGCATTCATATAATAAAGAAAAAGATTGAGACCAATTTGCTGGCATCCAAATACAGTAATAAGGCAGAAACACTGCTGTGGCTTGGTTACTCTGTCTGCCAAATGCCTATGAATGAGGTTATCCATGAGCTCATTCATAAGAGGGAAACCTTTCTGATAACAAAGTCAGAGAACGTATGAATAGTGGTCATTCCAGATGAACTTTAATACGCTGTGTCTTTGGCAGGGCCGGTCAAACAGCTTCAGAATGGCTAAACTCCTCTGGTGTTCTTTTTCTATAATGTAAGTTCTGAAGCTCAGGCAGACTTGAGGGAATGGAATGACAGAGGCACCAGTCTGTATTGACTCAAAATAAAATACAGGTAACACCCACCCCAAAGTACCCCCTTTTGCTGACTTGGTGTGTCTCACAGTGGCAGCAAGATAGCCCACGAAGGATGGCAACACAACCTGCACATGAAACATGCGATACAAGCAGAATTTCTTCCCCTCACCACAGACTTCTTGCCTCAAATTTATCAGGAGGCAGGGAAAAAAAGGGAGGGGAGATGGATGAACCAAATAATTCAAAGACTGTAAAGCTGTCAAGAAAAATGGAGCTGAATGAACATGCGCTGGAGGGGAGGGGAGGGGAGGGGTGCTTGAAATCGTGAGACAGACAAGTGGGTGAGTGGCCCAAATCCAGACACTAACTGTTCCGTGGAAAAGTGCCATTCCACTATTACAGACTCTGTATGTGGCTTGATATCTTGGGGTTTGGTCACAGGAAATAAACATCAAATTGCAGAACATTTTATTATGCCTGTTTGAACCTGTATCCTACTGGCTGAGCAGGTTATGTTGAGCTAGGGCCAAATCTGGAACCTAATCAATATTTCCTTACTGCTCCATAATGGAAGCAAGATGCCCATTTTTAAAGCATTGCAGAAAAAGTTTTCAGTCTCAGAAAGAAAAGGAACTGTTCTAAATCCTCCCAATAAACCTTTCAAGATGGGAAAAAAATTGTAAGCACAATCTCAAAAGAAAATGGAAGGAGAGCTAGTATCTAGGTTTCTTCTCTATAATGGTGGCTTAACTTTAAACAACCATAAAAAAGATACTTCGAATTGTGCTCGTGCCTTGAACTTGGAGAAACCTGTCCTTCCTTTCTTGAATTGCAGACCATGTCCCAGCTGCTTCCATCCTGGGAATAAGCAAGCTAGAGCAAATCCAGGCGCTTTCCTTTACAACTGTTGCAAGGTTCTTTCTTTGCTGCTTCAATTATCTGGCTTTTCTGCAGACTTCAAAAGAGTCCTCTGACATTATTTCTTGAAAAAGGCATTGGGTCAGGGAAGGCATCAAAAGTCAAACTCATCAGTTAAAACCACGCAACTGGCTCGGTACAAGAAGGCTTATAGGTTCAGGGTAGGATATTTGTCTGCTTTTTGCATGACATACAGAACAGACCGCTAAGAAGCTCCCCAGGAGTCAGAAGGAGAATTTTAATCATGCACATCAAATTCAATGACGCCCATGGAATGAACACATCTACTACAATGGTTTTCAGAAGTCCTCCGTCTGGGTCACATTTGTGGCTCCAGCCTTTTGTGGGCTGGGCCAGTTCCTCATCTTTTGCCTTCGGAAGAGATCGGCAAGGCCTTTCCAAGTGGCCCAGCAAATCTGCTGCCCTTCCATCGCAATCTGCTCTAATCACATGGGTACCATTCTCGCGCCACCAGCTGTCCCTTCCTTCTACCTGGTTTACAGGGATCTACAACAATCACTCTTGGCAAACCACATGTATCGCAGGGAACGAACGAATGAACGAGCCTGTGGGGCAAAGTGCATTCCATGAAAAATACAACCCCATCAGTGTTCAGTGGCCTGTAAAAATACCAGTGTTCCCTCGGCTGGGCAAAGCTCTGTTATGTCATTCAGGAGCCACATACTTTTGTGTGGTGTCTGCAGCTGTGTGCAGTGCGGTGCGGTGCGGTGCAGTGCAGCGCAGTGCAGCTCAGTGCAGCAGTGGAATATGAAAAAGGGCCGAGCTGCTGGTGTACTGGGTGAGCCAACTTATCGCTGGCCCCACAATGACTCTGAATGACTTGACAGCGCCGCCCCACTGGATGCCCCATATGGAACCGTCAAACTTGAGAAACCGCAGCCCAGGAATGAACCTCACTATCTCAGCAAGTCAGCGCAAGTTCTCAGTAAGTCAGTGCTGCGTTAGATTGGAAGCTAATGCAGAGTGCAGATGCTGGTGAGGCAAAGCATCCCGGAGGTGCATGTGCAGGTGATACGGAAGCTCCCACAGCTTCGAACTTGGTAAGCTGAACTGCCACCAAAAGGAACTGGCCCAGGGATTATCCTTCCCAGTCTCTAACTGCCCTTGTCTTCCCTTTTCATGTGGCTGTAATATTAGGCAGTGAGCCATTAAAGCAAGCCGGGGGAAGGGGAGAGCGGGACACTATAATTAGCCAAGCAGCCTCCAATGCACAGCTCTATAAAAGCCAGAGGAGATAGTGACACAACTCCGTTTAGAAATCCAGGCCTGCCTTCCTATAGATTTACGATGGAAATTAACTCTTTTGCCAGAAGCAAGGCTACATGGTGAGGCCTGGAACGGGATGAAACTCGTTGATGAAATGAGAGCCGCTCTCGGCCCTGCCTCCTCTTTAGCAAGCAGCTTTTCTTCATCCAAATCACACAACTCTGCCTTCTGAGAAAACCCCACTAACCCCTGGCACTTCCCCCCTGAAATCCAGGGGCTTAAGCTAAACAAAAGGGGAGAGAGGAGGAGAGACCCTGCTGCAATGTTAATCCCTAGCACATAACCGTAAGCCTCAAATGAGTACTGGGTCAAGTCCTGGGCAAGCAAGCCACGTTGGTGAGGGAATGGCATTAATGGTATGGACATTCCAACATATAGATATTGTAACAGGGCAGCAAGCACACCCTAGAGAGAGAAGGGCACTTGGGGTTCCTGCTGTGCAGGGCTGGGGCGAGGGGAGTCTGCCCTTCGCATGTCAGCAGCTCCCGTGGGCAAGCAATGAACACAATTCTTTGGGCGGTGCAGGTTCCGAGTAAACCAGGTGACAACATGAATCAGTAGCAGGAACATCCATCCGTTTTAGAGGCTATTCCGGACTAGAACAGTGAGGGCTTTCCCCCTTCCCCTCCCAGGATTTACACAACAACAGTGCACAGGGGAAGAGCAAACCACGCCCCTTGCTCCCTCTCTCCTTCTCCACCCCCGGATTCGCTCCCCACCCCCCTTCCCCTAATGAAACCAGGTGGACATGACTTGGACAGAAGCAGCGGAGGAAAGGCCCTGGAGCGCAGTGGACAGGGTCAGATGCAGAGAGGCAGATTGGTCGGGAGCTGCAGTTCTGGAGGCTGGCAGATGTGTGCAGCTCCGTTGCTGACCTGTCCTCCTGCCCACTGGGGTTTAGCTGTCATCGCCATTTTCGCCTGGTCCTTTGATAAGTCGCTTCTGTCCTCTTTTCCCCACGGGCCCCTTGGGCTTGGGAAAGGCCTGCTTGAAGGCATGCTGCTTGGGGTGGACCTCGTCATACAGGAACTCTGCGGTCAGCTCTGCTCCGTCATCAATTTCAATCTGGGATGGCAGAAAGAGGAAGGCAGTCCTTAGTTCCGGCCATGGAGAACAGCCCCTTCCATCCCCAGGATGGCACATATCCTAACCTCCTACTTGCTCCGCTCTTTTCCCTAACGTATTCTTATCCTCCTCTCCCCACTCTGCTCCTTACACACCCTGAGCAGCACTACTTCCAAGCAGGTATCATCCTATTTTGTCTCCAGGATCTCGGCATTACAGCGTCCTGTTTACAGTCTGCTAGCTTGTCCTTATGTTTTAGGTTGCACAGGCAGGCTTGCAGTTGCCATTGGTGAAGTCTCCTTTGCTCTGTAGCACTGTTCTTAGGTTTCTAGTGAGACAAATCACTGGAGAAGACCCTGATGCTGGGAACGATTGACGGCATAAGAAGAAGGGGACGGCAGAGCATGAGGTGGCCAGATGGAGTCACTGGGGCAGTGGGTGTGAGCTTAGGTGGACTCTGAGGGATGGTGGAGGACAGGAGAGCCTGGAGGAATGTTGTCCATGGGGTCGCAATGGGTTGGGCACAACTTGGTGACTAACAACAACAGCATAACAAGCAAGACAAAAGTGTTGGGACATTACCCTGGAACAGTTCCTGCTCCACTTCAGTTATTGCCCCCCCACCCTGCAAGTTCCTCCTGAAGAACCTTCACCTACTGTCCCATTACTCCTTGACACCTTTCAGGACTTGCCCAGCTAAACAGAACAGGAACTTCCTTCTTCACGGTAGACTTAAGAGGGAAAAGGTCAAGTTTACCTTCTTTGCAATCTCTAGGCAGAAATCTTGCTCCACAGAATCAAGCAGCCGGCTTTTGCAGCTGGAGTACAGCATGCGCTCCTTGATGCTACACTTGTAGCCAGGCATGGAGTAAATAAACACTGCAAGGAAGGGAAAGGAGGCACTCATTAGGGAAAGAGCACTACGAGAAGGGCATGCACTTTCAGGCAGACATTTAATGAAAACGTTTATAAACTGAAGCAATGACAGGATGGAATGAACTGGGGTTTCAAAAAGTCTGCAAGTGACAGAAACTAGAAACAACCGATTTCCCATTCCTAGTAAAGTGTAGAGGGAAATTCTGACCAGATTCTGTTTTTTTAAGGGAGGTGTATTTGCCCGGCACTTACCAACGGACTCGAGGTAATCTCCCTCATGGGAGTGCTTATACAGGAAGAAGTGATAGCGTGCAGAATCCTGGGGAACCCTCCTAGGCAGGTCTGCTATCTCAGTGGCACGTGTGTGCACCAAGTTTATGGTCTCCCGCTCCAGATCCAGCTTCTGTTGAGACAAGATGAGGGAACATGACGCGGAACAACCACAGGAAGACAAAAGTGAGCAGCCCTGTGCAAGCTGGGCTTGTGCAGAAATGAGGGAGGCAACAGAAGTTCGGGCTGAAAAGCCTGGCAGCAACACCTTACCAGCTGGATGTAATTGATTTGCTTCTGCTTTAGTAACTGGATGGCCTGCTGTGCTTCTGGCTGCAAAGGAAACGCCAGCCCCTGCAGTGTCTGGTGTTTGCTCTCTACGCTGATTTCGGTCTTGACCTGGCAACAGAAGGGAAGAAACAGACAGAAATGAAACCGAGGAAACAGAAGAGGCATGAAGATGCGAGAGATGGAAGTGACCGCGAAACGCAGCCCCCGCTGTTCATACTCGCAAGTGTATGAACTCTTGAAGGAAAGAGCTTGTGTCACAAAGGGCTGCTCCTGGAGTCAGGCATGCAGAGCAAGACTCCAGCTGAGGGCCCAGGGATGTGGCTGTCGCTTCCTTCCTTCAAGGCCTCTCAAAAATGGAAAAGCAGACACGGGGCTGCCCTCAGAAGCAGGGAAGAGTGCCGATTCCTCTCCCTGCTGCTTGTTTGCCCACAGAAGACTTGGGCAATCACGCCCCTTCATTCACAGGGAGGGGATCTGGTTGCCTTCCATTGTCCACCTCTTCTGCTTTCCCACTTCTTTTTTATTCAGGAAAAAACACTTAAGGAATAAAGGTATAGCTGCCCGATGCTTTCTGACTTAGGGATAAGTGCCCTCCACCTGGAAGCACCCCAGGCTGCTCTGTCTCTTTTCCCAGAAGTTGGAACCGCGGCACATGAGGCTGCTGTCTGATTTCAGAGCCCAGGGAAGGCCCTGGGAGGAATCCAGACCCCAAGTATTCTCCTGCACCAGCAGAGGAATCCGGCATCTAACTCTCTAGGGCAGTGGTGGCAAACCTATGGCACGTGTGCTGCAGTGGGCACAGAGACCCTCTCTGTCGGCACACAAGCCAAGTTGCCCCAGCATCGCGCCAGCATCCGAGCATCGGATAACAGCACACACAGGGGCCATGGACATGCTCAGAAAGGAGTGGCAGCACCAGGCGATGATGTCATGAGCTGCGACTCATGAGCTGCGACGTGTCCGAGCATTCGCATGGCCGGTCAGTGCACTGCCAAGGATATATGCATTTGCTCGGATTGGCTGCGAGTTGTTTTTTCTAAACTAAAACCTCAGTATTCAGGTTTTATTGCAGTGTTGGCACTTTGCGATAAATAGGTGGGTTTCGGGTTGCAGTTTGGGCACTCGGTCTCTAAAAGGTTCGCCATCACTGCTCGAAGGTGATGGGGCTGTACAATAAATGCTTGATGTGGCCACAGACCTCAAGGAGGACAACAGAAGGAAGGACACTCTGAGCAGCACTCAGTTGTTTTGTTGTTCTGAACTGCCCAGAGACCTTGCCCTGCTGGGTGGCGTACTAATGAAATAAATAACAGTAAAGAATTTTAGCTTCAGCACAGCTTGTTTTATTCTGTCCTCCTCCTCCCCCACCTGTTTTTGGTCAAGCTTACTTGGCATATTCCATGCCAGTATCAAGAAAAATACCAGTTGAAAATGAATTTGTAAATTTGTTCTGATCTTTACCCTCCTACCCAGCCCCCCTCACTATACACCATCCCTTTGTACATTGCTTTGGTTTTTAGATCGTAGGAATTTATCAGGAGTATGATATTCATGAGGAAGTGAGCTTTCCCAGTCTACTTATAAGATGGTTAATTGTTGCAGTGAAATGCACATGGTCTTTAAAGAAAAACTTAATAATAAAATATGTTACATGCTAAACCACCCAGCTAATTCTGACAACATTGGTTCACCAACCGAAACAGAGTAACATGGTCTGTTGCAACTGAAAAAAGAAATGAGAATGAAATGTTCTTCTTGAAACAGCTTATAGTAGAAAAACAGACTTAGAAGGCTCCACACTGTATCATCAACAGAAACTCAAATACTTTCTTGCTTTCTAGAGAGGACAGAAAGAGTTCACGTGCATCATTGAGGAACGATCAATGTCTTACTTCCATTCTTAATAATAAATGAATGATGGGGTCTATTTGCACTAAGAGGCAGAAATAGAACTTTCTGCTACATGAAAAATGAGCAATGCTATTTCTTCTTTCAGTTATCTGACATAATTTCAGTTTCACTTAAATTTTATGCACTCCAAACTTCTGAAGTAGTTCTGATCATGCACTGCCTTCCTGTCTTGTTCACCAAATCCCAGTTCCACCCATAATTTGGAATGTTTAATGTAATAGGATAAAGAACTAGTCTATTAAAGAAAATAAGATTGATTAAATTAGAAAAACTGAAGAATAACATATCTGAAAATAATATTATGTAAAATGTATTAAGTTGTACCATTCATTAAAGAAGAGTTACAGAAGGTACGCTGCCACACAATTTCTGGAAAAATAGATTTTATGTATAACACAGAAATACAGAAACAGAATGAGTCAGAAGGGGTCTCCTGGGCCATCTAGTCTGACCCCTGGCTCCAGCTGGCTGCACTCACAACATGCCCACCTCACTGGAGTACTCATTTAACTCACTGGAGTGCTCATTTAATAATTTAATAACTCACTGGAGTATTCACTGGATAACTCACTGGAGTACTCATTTAAAGCTAAAAGTTAAATGTCATTTCACCTTTTGCAAGGAATATATTATTGTAGTAATATCTTATTTTTTGAGTATATATGGAATTAGTAAGCCTATAGAAGAATAAATCTTACTGAGGAAGAATCAGCCTGGCTTCTACCATGAGACGTTTTGCCTCACCTACGTGTACCTTTGAAAGTTCTTTGAGAATGAATACATAATAATATGGGAGACAAATTTTGACAAAGACCCTTTCCAAAGTCTTGAGGGAACAATCCTGTACATGTTTAGTCAGAAAAAGAGTCCGTCAATTCCCAGCAATCTCTGGCTGCCTGTGGAATAGGATAGGCCAGTGAGGCCTTAGGACTGGTCAGAAGCTCCCTCTGACCTCCGAAATGCCCCAAGCATTTGAACCCACAGCAGGACTCCCATTTTACCCTCACAACTAGCAAGGACAGCTAACTGGGCTCTAAAGGCAGAGGATGGTGTGGAGGACGGAGGAAGAACAAGAGTCCTCCAAAGAGTGCTGGTGGTGTCCCAGCCTCTCCTCTCGTAAAGAGGTGGAAAACAGTTAGCTGGCCAAAACTGGCTCTCTAAGTGTTATGGAGGGTGAGGGGAGCGCACGGGGAATTGCACCTTTCACCGAATGCCCATAATCCTCAGACTTTGGAAGGCTATGGCCCGGATGGTGCCCCAACCTGTTAAAAATGATATGCAGTTTTGTGTGACCAGTGAGTGACCTGGTTTGCAGACGGTAGTGAAATATTCCAGATGTTGAAAAGTTTCCAAAATGGCAAATAAGGTTCAAATCTAAGTTAAGTATACAAGAACGCACACTGGGGTAACAGTCCCAACTTCCCACATACAGTGATGAGGTCTCAACTGGAGATACCCTGCAGGAAAGAGAGTTTGGGGCTCTGCCAGTTAGTTCAGTTAAAATGTCACCTCAAATGTCACCTCAGCAGTAAAAAAAGGCAAATTCCATGCTAGAGAACAATTGGAAAGAGACTGAAAAGACAATTGTTAGCAACATAATGCCATTTTAGAGAACCATGGTAAGGCCACATCTGAATACTGTGTACAATTCCAGTCACCCTCCAAAGAATATTGTAGGGCTGGAGAAAGGTGTTGAAAGGGACAACCAAAATGATAAAGGAGTGACTGCAACTTTTCTACAAGGAAAAGCTGAAGTGCATGTTTTAGTTTTAAAGATGATGATACAGTCTCAATCCTATGCATGTTCAGACAGAGCAAAAGCCCTGTGATGCCCATCATGTCCCAGCCAGCCATGCATGGCACAGAGAAGCTGAACAAGGACAACATTTTTCTCCCTCATAATACCTGGATTCGTAATCATCCAGTGAAACTGCCTGGCGATACCTGAAACTGAAGCATTGACAGTGCCTTCTGCTTCAGCACTGGGAGCTGCGAACCCAGCCTTAAGCAGCACATGTACAGAACATGCAAATCATGTGTCTTGCCACAAAAAGCACCACTAAGAGATGGCAACTCTATAAAACGAATCCCTGAGGAGGGATATCAAGAAACGGAAGGCTTACAGCAAAACAAGATTTGATGTTAAATATGCGATTGCATTTAAATGTGGCTAATTTTTCTTTTCTTAACAGAAAGACTGAACCCTTTGTCTCTAACCACAATCCTGATAATTCTTCCTATTTGGCTAACAGAAGGTTCCCTTTAAAGCTTTGGGATAGTGGCATTTTCATTGGGATTGTCACCAAGGGTTATTTCTTCCTTCTTTCATTCCTATGTGCCACTGTCCCAATTCTGACATTCCCAATTTTCATAACTCTTATTTATTTGGTGGTGGTGGTGGTAGGGAATTAATATGCAATCACTCATTTAACCTCACTTCTGGTTTGGCCATAATTTTTACTAAAAACAAACAGCTTTCTTGCAACCCTTTGAAAATGATTTGAAAGACAGAGTTTTGTATGAAACAGGCCCATTGCTCAAATGGGAATAACAAGGATTTAAAATGACAGGCAGAAGACCACCCAAAAATCAACTAGGATCTGAATCTCCAGGAATGGTCTTACTCACATATTATGGAGTAAATTAATAAGTTGGGCACTGTCCTTCTCCCATCTCAAATATACGAATCTTTGCTATATCATGGCATCAACGTATCAGCTCTCAATGAAAATGAAGCAGGAATTGGGAGACTTCCCGATCCTTCAGCTGCATTCAAAGAATTCTCCCGACATGGTCAAATTAAAAAAATAAATTCTCCCTATCATGTTTGTTGAGGTACTATACATTTCAGAATTCCTGTGGTAAACTTTTTAAATATAGTCCAAAAGTAATCTCAACATGCCATATTTATCAATGCAGCACTTAAGCTATTATACAATTGGTTACAAGGAAAATTCCAGAGAAGAAGTCATGGAAAATGAAGGGGAAGAGCCATTGGTCAATGAAGGTTGCTAATAACCATCCTGATTAAAAGAGTGCTCTAACAAGCAATACATTTGCCAGTCCACCAAATTCACTCCAAAAGGAAGGCAAGAAATCAGATTCGCTTAAACAGAAATTCACATCACCCATTTGGTATCTTATCCTTCACATTTCTCCCAAGACAATTTAGAAAATATGACCCAGATTCCCCTAGT